ATATTCTATAGAACCACTGGGCCAATTTCAACCAAACTTGGCACAAAGTATTCTCAGGTGAAGGGAATTCAAGTTTATTTGTTCAAATGAAGGGCCACGCCCTTATTCAAGGGGAGATAATTCAGAAATAGTAAAAATTTTGTAGCATGTTTTGAAAATCTTCTTCTCAAGAACATTGTGCCAGGAAAGAAGAAACTTAGAGGAAAAACATCCTCAGTTACTGTAGATTCAAATTTATTCAAATCATGACCCCGGGGGGGGGGGGGGGTAGAGCGGGGCCACAATGGCCGATCAAAGTTTTACATAGACATCTGTTGGAAAAATTTTTAAAAATCTTCTTCTCAAAACCACTGTGCCAGGAAGAATGAAACTAATAGGGAAGCATCCTCAGGTAGTGTAGATTCAGGTTTGTTCAAATCATGACCCCTGGGGGTAGGGAGGGACCACAATGGCCAATCTCAGTTTTACATAGAAATATAACGGGAAATTCTTTAAACATCTTCTTCTTTAGAATGACAAAGGCATTGAAGAATCATATTTATATAGAAGGATCCTCAGGTAATGTAGATTCAAGTTTGTTTAAAGCATGATCCCTGGGGGTAGGGCGGGGGCACAACATGGAAACCAAGTTTAGATAGAAACATGTAGAAAATAATCTTCAAAAATCTTCTTTTCAAGAAAAGGAAAACCATGATTAGTCCTATTCATATGGAAGCATCCTCAGATAGTGTAGATTCAATTTTGTTCCAAATCATGACCCCTGGGGGTAGGGCGGGGCAACAATGTAAGTTCAAATGTAAAGAGCAATTAAGCCACAAAGAAATATGCAAGCATCCTTAGTTAATGTAGCTTCAAGTTTATTCAAACCATACCCTCTCCCTTTTAAGAATTGGTTGGGACCACTAGTGGGTTTAAACTTTTCGGTAAATAACGATTTCTACTTTTTTCTTAGCCACAGGTGAACGATGTGGCCCATGGGCCTCAGGTTTCAAATTGTGACATGTGACCAGACACACTCGATTTAATTGTCCTAAGTCCCACAGAGTTCAAAATATAATATAGACACAATTTAAATATTTAAAATCACAGTACCAAAATGAGGACATGTCCTATTTTAAGACTGACTTCGAGTGTTTCATTTGCACATTAGTGAAATGTCTTTTTATAATGTTAAAAATATACAAATACGATATTTGATTTGAATCTTTGAAAAATATTGACCATTGGGGCGTAGGTTTAGCCCCCCCCCCCCCAACACTTTCAACAGAAACCTTGCAAATTCACATGGTCACCTATCCAATATGTTTGTAACCTTTTCTAGTGAGGAAAATTGGATAAATTGGCAAAGGTTACTCACCCTGTTATTAATCAATAGTTTGAAATATTTTGAGACAAAAACACATATTTTTATAGCGAATTTTTTTTCCGATTAAAATGTTTTCCAGGGCAACACTTATAAAGACAAAAACAACTATAGGTACTGTGAGTAATGAGCTCACTAAATGATACATGTAACCCCCCGCCTCCCATATGAATATTTTGGCAATGTCCATGTTTTAATTACTGTGGGAAGCCCAAATATGTGTCGGATCAAAAGTAAAATAGGAGGTGCACGATGGCAATATGTATAAAAGTAAAGATAAAGTTTCAGCAATTTCATTCAGTGGTATGAGAAGAGCTGTAGATAAGACATGGGTACCGCAAAGCGTAACAGACGGACGGACATACAGATTACTATATAGCCTCCCGCTTTTCAAGTAGGATATAAATATTCACAAACCTACATACGTAGTTTAAATCTACATATGCGCGGCTTGGTTCAATGTGTATCATTGCACTATCGGGTGTGATAGAATAAGGATGCACTTTGACGAATTGCTTGGGGTCCTTGGGGAATTTGGTCCCTACCAGAAATATGTCTATTTCCTTGTGTGTCTCCCAACCATTATTGCAGCCTTTCATATGGTTAATTCTGTGTTTTTGCTGGGAATTCCAAAACACAGGTGAAACATTTCGGGTATTTCTTTACATGTTTTGCTTTCTCTTAAGGAATTAATTATATGTGAATTTGATACACTACAATTAGGATTTTTTTTCCCATTCACATATTAATTGCAGTTAATTACAGTGTGACAAAATTCTTTTTAAATGAAAAAAAAAATACATTCAATGTATTAGAAAGCATGAACATTTTTTTTCAATTTAAATTTTTACTAATGATTATTTTAATTGAGAGTTTTTCCTGTCATGCCTATATATATATAGGTTTATCTCGAAAAAACTAAATGAAATATAAAATACGAGGATTGTCCCAAAAAGTAGTAGACATGAAAAACAGTTTATTTCCTCTTTGCTGAATTAAATTTCTTTTCTTGTCATAACGAAAAGTAACATTTTGTGATCATGCATTTCAAATTTCATAATGATATCACATTTAATATGGAAATTATGAAAAAATAAAGAAAGCATGTAAGTGTACATCGGCGCACAAAAGCAAGCATATTTACGTCTCATATAACGTTATGATATCTTTTTTTGCTTCACACGCGTCTGTTAACATTCAATATTTTTTTTTAAGTGAAAGACCACTTTTGACCAAGGGACCTATTTAAATTCACTACTGTCAGGGTTTGTTGTTGTTGTTTTTTTTTAAAGCAGATTCAAATTTTAGTCGAAATTTAGTCAAAAGATCGCCATACATTGTAGGTAGCAAAGAATACACATTGTTTGACGTCGTTCGTGGCCAAGACTGTTCCTACAAACACAGTAATCTACTTCTTACATGCTGTATCTATTTTCGGTATAGAGGAAAAACTCTCATTGAATCTCATTCCTTTTAAAAATAACTTCCCTATTTACATCTAGTATGTAATGTCACTTTTCTACTCTTTTTTCCTGTCTCATACATACAAACCTTATTAAAAACTATTTATTATATATCCGTGCGCCGGTTACGCGTTTGACGACGTCATTTTCATCAAACTCAATTCCAACAACACTTTGAAAATCATGACACCAATCGTCTGTTTCCAATGCTATTTATATGAAATTTTGAAATATTATTAAGATTTTTATTCTGATTTCACTGATTTAAATTTGAGTTTAATGTTTTAAATAATACTAAAGAAATAAAAGCAAATGTAATAGTTATATGCGTAAATTATTCCGAATTTTGTCCGTGCGCCGTCAGACCTTATCGGCCATCATTTAAATCGTCCTAATATTATTAATATGGAAGATGTATATTCAAAAATCTACAATTTTAAAAAACATTGATTATATTATGTCTATGCAAAATTTGGTTAGTATTGGTTGCATGTTTAAAAAGTTATTATTAACATTGTCTACGACTGTTTGGGACAACCCTCGTACTTAATATAAATTTCGTCTTAATCATGGCATTTGCCACTATACGATTTTGCAGACAAATTTATGAGATGTACCGGTATATTTTTAAAAATCACATTTAAAACTTTTTTTGAAAAAAAAAATCAATTTTTTAATTTGTTATTAAGGACATTTATCGTTTAATATAAATTATGTCTGTGGACAAAACTTCTGTTGGTATTGGTTATGACATTTTCAAAGAAACCTGTGGCCGCTTTGCGATGATTTAATTGATATGCTTTTCATTTTGATGTTGTTCCAGCCCCCTTTAGAACTCAATATAGATATTGATGTTGCAACAATGAAAATGTTTTCAACGCAAATGACGCACGTGTGTATAAAAGAAATAAAAAAACAAAAATGTCTTGCTCCAGGCGCAGTGCTTGGAGAGATGAGTGTCCATTGTTTTGATCTAACAAATCTTAAAGTTCGATGTATATCCAATTGTCAGTTTCAAATATCATCCGTTTAAAAACTTGCTCAAGGCGTAAGGTGCATTAATATAATCTGACATATAACATGTTTAAGTATACATGATTTATTTCTATTAAGAAGTTATCGAAAGATACAAATAATGATAATAATGTTTTAAAATATGACTTGTAACCATGAAATGTAGATTTCATATTGAAATTCTTTTATTTCTGTTTGAATCATTTTCAAACGTAAAAGCAAAAATTTAGAATTAAAATTTAATAACACAATATAAATACAGTTTTGAAAACAGCTCGAAATCTTTTCATTTTTTAAACATATTTTATTGAACATATATAATCAATTTTGGAGTGTCCATTCCAATTAACGCAAAGAAAATAATTATTAGTCAACAACAAATAATGTACATATACAACCAATAAATATACAAAATACTAGTATACTAATAAAGAGCAGGAAGTTTTCTTTTTTAATTCATTTTCTTTTTATTGGAATTATGTACCGGTTGCTTCATTTTAAAATGAAAATGAATTTTAATTTCTTAAATTCTCTTATTCTATATCACGTGGTGTAAAACTGGCAAACGCAGACTTTTTTTAAAAGGAAGAAGAAATACGATATATCAGACTTGAATACATACCGTCTTTTTATGAAGGTTAATTTCTTAGCAAATTTGAAACCACCAGTTAGACTATAGAAAGAGGAAAAGTGGGTTAAAACTGGACAATATTTCATTTTTGACAAGGAGAAATTTCCTCAAGTTAAGAGTCAAAATCAGCAAGCATCGAGCATTTACTTAAAAAAAGTGGAAAGTGGCATAGAAACAGATTTGGTTAAAACTCATATATAAATTTTCAGAACAAAGGGTATAATAGAAAAAAGCAAGCCAAAAATAATTTTTCGCATTGTTGCTATGGAAACCACGCGCCTTTCAAATAGCGTGTTTTGTACTTTATCATGACACTTGAATTTATGGTTAAACAAATATTTTTTTATTACTAGTCATTAATAAAAGCTTTTTAAATTATTATTCTATTTATCTAAAAATACTCTATTTTAACAACTGTTGATTATTGAAATTCTCCTCAGCTTTTGATAAATAAAACTAGTTTTTGGAGGTTTATTTTGATTTAAAAAACAGCAAATTTGCAGTACTCTATAAGAGATCTACAACCACATTAAAGCTTATCAACATAAAATATATATTAAACAGTATTTGTCCTAGAAGAATCAAGAAAAAAATCTGCAGGCAACTAAAGCATTTATATATGATAACTGATTTAAATCCATAATTTTCTGTCTTTTTTGCTTCAAATTACCTCCCTTTGGTATAGCTCTCTAACATAGGAGGAATAAACGGTAGTTTGCTTACGTTGTTTTCAATAACAGTGTACAGAAGACTAGAAGAAAATTACAAACTTGGAGCAGTCTGAGCCTCAGTTTTGGCGTTTTCATGAGTCTTAATTACGGTTAGTGACTGAATTTTTTACAATTTACCATTACAACAGTTTCTGAAGAATGTATAACAGAAATTAACCATGCAGGAAAATATGTAACACTTGGCAAGTGTTTTTTTGCACATTTCAATTTAATTCTGATGGATTATATATGTTAGCATTACTTTAGTATTTTATAACTAAAAAGAAAAGATTATGCATGGCCTGAGGAACCAAGAGGAGGGGGTATGCCCCTCCTTCCCCTCCCCGATAATATTGCCGATATTAAACTATAAATATGATAAAATGAAATTAAATTCCCCAACTTAGATTGTTTCTGCGGGCCGAACGTGAAAAAGTTGGTCATGATCAGTTACATAACTGTATCCCAAATTATAAAGTTTAATTTGAATTTAGTTTAATTTTGATTTGTTGTATTCACAGCATGTATGTAACCAAGTCACTCACAAGCTATAATGATTATATAACTTGAGTGATGGTCGGGTAAATAAAAATTCTGTATATAGTAAAAGATATCTTTATTTACCATTTAAGATAATACCTGCTTTTTACATAAAAAATTATGAATTTATGAAAATCAACACTATTATGAAATATTTGTAAAATGGAATGACTTTTGTTATGACGTCGTAAAAAAAGAAAAAGGGGCAGGGGGTTAACTCTGTACTTAATATATTTTAGTTTAGGAAAGAGGATTGTGATACAGACAAGTATATAAAGTAATGGACTAGTGGTAACTGAATTGAATACATACCACAGTAAAATAATAAATAAAAAAAAGGTTTTTGCTGATGTCATCCAGTGTTTACTAACGAAAGAAAATTCATATTCAGCTAACATTTTCACCGGTACCAGTGAACTAACTTAAGTCAACTAGGTTCAAATAATAAGCATCATTAGAATTACAGCACATAAATTTTTGAAAAGAATTTCTATACTCTATTTTTTCTTGAGGGGGAGGGGTGTTATTGGAAAGAAATGAAAACCACAATTTAGAGTTTTGACAAAACCTAGAACCAATTGACCTTTTTATTACAAGTTTATGAATTTAAAAAATATCTAAAATCAATACCGTCTCAACTTTGTGTTGTATACTTCTGTTTTTAGAATGAAATTCGCCACTTTGAAGCCAAACTCGGAAAGAAGCAGAAACAGAATTGGATGAGCTGATATAGAATTAGACAGGAAAAACGTGTAAATAATACATTTAGTAAAAACATTAACTTTTTAAAATAAAATGATAAACTAAACCATTGAGATCTCTTGGAATTTAATTGATTCCAATAAACATGCTTTGTATTCATCATCATTGCTCAAGCTCAACTAGAAATGGTTCTTAGTAAGTATCTGAAGGCAAAGCTGTATAATATTATTACATTTTAATTTTATCACTTTTTCAGATTATCATTATGAGAATACATCATTACAGTACAGACCATTGATGCTGGAAGTGAGTGGATAGTGTTACCGGAGACTCAGGGATCCAGAAAATAGATCCATAAATTGTACAGTGTATTCATGAAAGTGGATCAAATAAAAATGTTCAATCCAAAAGTAACATTCTTTGTTTGTCTGTTAGCATTTTTTTATTGATGTAAATCTAACAAGCTAATTCAGAGAATTTGTGTCCCCCGCTTAGGGAAAAAGTAAACCATGCGCAGTTCGGGGCGGGGGTGGGGGTGGGGGGTCGGATCCCCCTAATTGAATTTGTAGAATTTTTAAATGTATACATGTATACTGAAGCAAATAAAATATGTCAATATTGATATAATGATTTGATTATGTGTATAGAAGGTTCATTTTATGTGGATTATTTATCATAACGTAATGATGATTTTATGAGTTTGTACAAGCTAGACCTCATAATTTTTTTTTCATTTCACATGCTGAATACTATCATTTAGTAAAAAAAAAAGAATTTCGGAAAAGAAAAAATATGATCGTCCGAAAATCGAGCCCGTGACCTCTCGCATGTGAAGCGGGAGACATACCACTGCGCCACGGAACTGCTGTATAATTTCGACCATTATATGCAAATATGAAGTCACATACATGTATATATTCACGTTTGATATCGTCAAAAATTTACACAAAACATGCTGTCTAATTCAACCTTTATTAAACAGTTCTGGTAGATGTGATAGGAATATAAATTCTGCCGAGAACCTGTTTTATACGCAATAACTCTCCTCATGCCCCTGTGCTAAAAATAGCGACATGTAATACTATAAATACTAATAAAACAAATGGGACGGGACTCTTTGAGAGGGGTCCTACATGTAGGGAGTTTTGGTATAAAATACATTGCATAAGCTCAAAATCTTCTTGAAATACCGCCCGGAAATGATAGTGTTACACACAGAGAGAATGTATAAATTTACGACCTTTAACTTTGACCTTTTGACCTCAAAATCAATAGGGGTCTTCATAAGGCAACGGGGAGTTGTCATGTAAAATTTCATTGCAATAGCTCAAATGGTTCTAGAGATACTGTGTGGAAAGGAAAGTGTTACAACAGACAGAATTTGTTTATTTATGACCTTGACCTTTGACTTTTTGACCACAAAATCAATAGGGTTCTTCTTTAGTCCATAGGGAGTAACTGTTGCTATGCTAAATTTCACTGCAAAAGCTCAGAGGGTTCTCGAGATATCGTGTGGAAACGAAAGCGTTCCAGACAGACAGAAAGATGGACGGACGGAAGGACAAACGGACAAACTCGGGAGGGGGGTGTGGTTAAACATTAGGGTACGTTGAGAAAAAAGTTGGGTGGGGGATGTCATCCCCCCTACCCAACCCAAACCTGATGCTACATGCCTGATTGACATGGTTTTACTTTATAATTATGTGAGCTGTCATAGTGACTCTCTTTCATAAACAAGAATTATTGTGAGCAAGCTAATGAAATGATACCAACCCTCCTGCTATTGCATTAAATGTTTTTTTTAATTACAAAAAAGGTCTAAATACTAATTTGAAACCTTTTAAAATTTTGCTAGTGCAGATATACATACCAAAAATGACTATGACAAATACTCAAGTCATAGGTAGTAAAACCGTTGTGTTGAACACAAACTTTCCCTTCATTCGAAGTTAAATATGTAAATGTGCCAAACTCATATAGTACACTTTTACTGCAGTGACCTTGAAAAAGCTATGTCCTTGAGTCAAGGGCAAACATGTTCAAATGAATTTTGGTCAAGGTAATGACAAACCTACAGCTTAAAAATAATTCCCAAGATGAAACCAAGTCTTTTCATTAGAATGTTACAGAATGGGCAAAGGTTGCACTTTTCTTCTATCAATGACCTTGAACTTGTTCAAATGACCTTGAGTCAAGTTTTTGACACATCTCTCGATCGCAAGCAATCTTAATATCAAGTATGAACTTTCAGTGGCACTTCATTGAAATGTTATGGACAAGTCAAAATTTTACATACATATGGATCGGTGAACAAGGTGATTCCTACCCCCCCCCCCTTTCTTTTCCAAGTTTCGTTTCTGAGGAATATAAAATTACTTTTGAAATTTAATGTGCATTTATTTATTAACAATAGTAAAGTTATGAGTATGCTTTGATCAGAACCAATATGGCCAATATAATGGACACTGAACATGTATTCAAATTACCCCCACCCCTTCAAAAAAGCTTATAAATGCCAGATTTTCACACATTTTAACCATTTGTAACTTTTTTCTGCTAAAGTTGCCTGCAAATTTTATTGTATAGATATAACATATAGATAACCCCTAAAAAGATCATACCATTCATTTTTCCAGCAGTGGTTGTAGATTTTGTGAATAAAGTGATAAACATATGTAACTTTTTCAAAATTAATAAGCATTGACGCCATGTTCTTTTCCCGTTGTCATGGCAACAATATCACTACGGAAATTTTATTTTTCCTATTTTTGGAGAATTAAGTAATTCCACCTTTTAACAAATAAAGTAACCAAAATACCTTATCTTATCACGTTCAGAAAACATATTCGTAGAAAAATGTCTAAAAATCATTGATTTTCATAAGGATTTATGAACCTGTTGCTAAGGAAATGAATTTCCTTGGATACCAGTCCCTTCATACGTTCGAAAAAAATTTTAATTGTGTTTTAGCATTAGGTAAGACAAAATCTTTCATATACCAAAAGCTTTTGAAAAAATAAAATTTTGACTTTCCATTCAATGCTCGATGCTTGCTGATTTTGACTCTTAAATACATATATACATATATTCAATTATTGTTTATGATCAAACCTGTATGTTCTGAAAGTAATGATTCATACGATCAAGACTGGAAAATCAGATCAGAAGATTAAATGTAAATCAAGATGACGTTGACTTTTCAGACAAATATTGACTTTAGTTTGCGTTCAGCTATACATCAGTTTACATTGGAGAAACTTAATCAGGATAAAGTTACTAGGTGAAATTGTCATTAGTATTATGAAGAAAATATATAATTTAAAAACAGTTAAAATCATGCAGTTCTTTTCTATCAAAAGACATGAACGCTATGTATGTTTTGTACATGTATATACGAGGGTTGTTCGAAAATTTTGTAGACAATGCCAATCTCCGTTAAACTTCTTACAAGAAATTCAAATAAGCACGATATTATGTATAAAAATATTTCCTTTATTGATGCTCCATGATGTTCCGCAAGGTCATCGTATTTATCGTTTTCAATGAGGACTGTGTACTTTCTTCTCAAATGAATTTATTTTCAACTAAGCAAAATGTTAAGCCATAATTTGGATATAAAATCACTTAAATAGTTCTAGATTTAAACATTTATGATTTTTTTTTTCGTTTTTCTCTCCTATAGCTGTGATTTCAAAACATATTTCAAAGGTTCGGGCATTCTAGTTTTCAAATCAATGCCAATGACTTTATTCCCATTAATGTACAAAGATATACTACAGTATTGTAGAGAGAACAATGAAGGATATGGAGATAAAGAACAGTATTCAATATCAAAGTCCATAAAACAATACCAAATAAGAGCAGAGAAAACACGGACCTCCAAGACATCAGAGCTGGGATCAGGTACCATGGAGGAGTGAGCATCCCCTGTAGAACTGTCACACCCGCCGTGTGCTCCTTGTCATTATCGGAAAGTAAAGAAAAATCCGTCGTCATTTCAGTGTTTATATAACGGAGTAATAATTAGTATGAAAAACGCCAGTCAGCTTTTGACTAAATGATAAATTATATTTGCTGACAAGGTCATTGTATCGACCAAAGAACTTACGAAATGATGATTTTAAAGAGGCGTAGACACAGTTTCAGCTAAAAATTTCAAATACATTTTTTTCATTTTTAAAATATATAACTAAGGTCTTCCTAATGATCATCAAAAATTTGAATGTCAGTTGTCGAGATACAAGACATATTTAGAGCTCCAAACCTTTGTTATGTAAACATGGTCAGTGTCATGCTTTTGTTTACATAGGTTAATATACTAAGATATGTTAGTTCAATGCAGATAATTTCAATAAAGAAGTAAATTCTCAATTCAATTCGACAGTTTCTAGTAATTTGCTGAATTTCATTTTGTTATAGATTTGATACTTTATATTAATGTAAACAAAAACAAGGCACGAGACTTGTTTACATTATGAAGAACTTTAAGTTCTGTATCTCGTTTATTAACCAACAAATGATGTTCAAATTTTTGCTGGTCATTAGATGATGCTTTAGTTAGGAAATGTAAACATTAAAATTGGTTTTAAAAATTCAGTGGAAACTGTGTCCGTGCCCCTTTAAACGAGACTGCTGTTATTCTTGTTTCATCAACTTGTTTCGTCAATAATTTACCTCGTTTTAAAATTTTTCATACGTAGAGCATGCTCTTGTGTATCAAATTAACTGAGATATATAAACGCCATATGCAGGTGATGCAGGTATATTGCTGCATAAGTAATAAGGGAAATTGACAAACAAACAAAGAGAAAATATAGAACATATATGATAAACAGTACAAAATAACATCCTAAGATAAGACCATACCTAAAAAGAAAAAAATTAATGTTTGTTTGTCCTCTCACGACTGAATGTGTAAAATTGGTTCGCTTAAAATATTGTATATATTTTCAGGATTCGATCATTTTAATTCCTGAATTTTCTCTTCCCGTCAACATGCATGTATGCAGATGTTTTAAAGGGGGAATTTTTTCAGCTACCTAACGACCCAACGACCCAGATAAACATTATTTAAAGATGAGCCTTAGTTTAAATAAATTATTCCCATCTAAAATATGTTTGACTTTCCACAAAAATCTGCACAAATTATTCAATACTAAATAACTTGTTATTAAAGGAAGTTGTTTTTCTATAGTTGGTCTATATGTGAGATATAATTTGGGATACATGTTTTAACTGAAATTGATCACCAACCTAAATACAGGAGTATAATCACATGAATTATATTTAGATTATACGAATATAGATTAAGCAATGGCATTCAATAAATTGTATTTAAAAACAGGGCTTGAATTTTAAAAGTTCAGCAGTCAATATCGCGTAATGGTAAGCGAATGGACCTGCACAATGATGTAATTGTTAATCGAACATTTTTCAAACCTTTACAGATGCAAATTACCGAATTGCCCAAATGATACTTATATCAGCCAGGGTCCAGAGCACGACGGCTTGATAAATGCCTACATACCTACAGAACTCAACGCAGACAACGAGATGGTGAACAAAAAATGCAAAATTTTCTCCCTTCCTGTTTTAGACAACGATACTACAGGCATCCAAGAGAGTTGCAGTTCGTGGGTTTTCGACAAAACTGTTTATGATAGCACTTTTGTATCTGAGGTATAAATATAATACTGACTAGTAATTAATTTGATAAAATTTTTACCACTGATTTTTTTTTTGTTACTAATGATATTTTTCCTACCAGCAAGATT